CAAACCTCATTTGTAATGGCTGATTTTTGGGAGAAAAATTTTTAACAAGTAAATTCAAGAATGCATGTAGTTTTGAGAGATTTGATAAATTACTTTGTGAATTTTATTCAGAAGTTACTTAGTCTATAAGAATAATCTATTTGTTGAATTTTAATGTTAAATAATCCTTAGTTGTTGACCATGAATATTAAGTCCCGATTACGGGGTGTTCATTTAGTAGATTTATCCTTTCCACCAATTTATCATGTTTGATGCATTTTATAAAAAGTTGTCCTCAAATTTGGATTTGAAAAAAATACACCTATAAAAAATATTAACAACAAATCAAAAAACATGAAGTTTTATAATTTATTTATAATTTAAGTTAAATTAAGGTGGCAATTGTTTATGATTTCTACAGTAAAAAAATCAATCAAAACTCAACTTTAACTCAACTTCAACTCAACCCCACTATCTTCTATATTATCAATATAATTAAATAATATCAATCAATCATTCTTACATATCACATCAACTTTAATTCATTATTCATCCTATAAACTTGTTAATATCCCAGAAAAAACCTTATCTCTTGCACTTAAATTTTCGTCCACAAAACGGGCAGTACTATATCGCATGTGTATTACGATAATAGTCGAGAGAAATATATTGGAAGCAAAGAAAATGAAAGGAGAACAAAAAATATATAATCACAAAATATGGATTATTATTAGCCATGGGGAAATAATGAATAATTGAAGTTGTGATTTCAGCCTGAGAAAATTGGGTGGCCTTATTCTCCGATGAACAATTGAACCTGATCTAATCAACCATACTCCAACCACAAACCCCTAGATTCCCGGCGCCGCCGCCGGAGATTCCCCCACCACCTCGATTTCCTCCTCTGCCACCGTCTCCTCCGCCACTCAGGAGGCTGCCGCCACCTCCGCGGCCACTCCCGAGACTGCCGCCACCTCCGCCGCCACTCCCAATTCTGCCGCCACCTCCGCCGCCACTTCCAAGACTGCCGCCACCTCCGCCGCCGCTCCCGATTCTGCCGCCACCTCCGCCACCACTCCCGAGACTGCCGCCACCTCCGGCGGCGCCAACAACTCCACAGCCACCAGCTGCTCGGTGTCCTTTCACATACTACTAGGGCTTGCATTTCCAAAGTGGCAATGTTGATTTATGATATGTTTTGGTAAAATGTTAAAAGTGAGTTGTTTTGAATAAAATTGTTTGAGTGAATTATTTTGAGTTTGTAATTAAATAATATTTAAAATGTAATGAATAAAGTTAGATGTAATATAAAAATAGAAAATATATGATTGAAAATGATAGTAGTTAAAATTATGTAACCAGATGAATAATGAACTAAAGTTTATGTGATGTGTGATGATGGTTAATTGGTATTATTTAATTATAAGAGTTTGGGTTGAGTTAAATTTTGCTTGATATAGAATAATTCAGTCAGTCAAAACCGATTAAAATCAATTATGACTCATATCCAATTACCGCCTAAGTGTTTTCTTTATCCTTTGTTCTTCTCTATTTGATTTTAATGGCTAGAGAAAATATCAGTGCTACACAATAAGAAAATTTTGAACATACCAAGAAAAGGAAAAAATTATATATATATATTTACTGAAATCACCCTGTGTATTTCCCGGCAGACTTTACTGTACTATCCGAAAAGAAATGAAATACGTCCGGCAAGCAAAACTCAGCAGTTGCGTCTTTTGACAGATCAAGTTTAAATGACCTGACATTTTTCTTTCGTGTAACGGTAATTTTCCCCGATTTCCAGGTAAATAGTAAAATAGTTAGAAAGCACCGGTTTTCATTCAAATGCGCTAGGTAGTGTTCAGCAAGTGGCCTTACACAACACCATCAAAGGTGAAAATGACAAATATGAAACTCCTAACAAACGAGATTGGTGGCCTTTTCGCCTTGAGTTCTCCTCACCCAGTCGAGAATGTCGTTACAATCCTCTCGTGAGATGAAATGCCTTCATATTCAAAAAAAGAACCCCCTTTTTTAGTGTTTGAGAATCAATTAAAAGAATTAGCTTAACAACTCTCCCTCAACTTGTGTGCTTTACTCTAGGTTGGAAGGGTTTTCCTTCATTCACTTCATGTACAATAAATGAAAGAATAAATAAATAAAAACAAAAAAAAAAGAAAGTAAAATTCAAGGAAAATTACCTGTTTCTGGTGCGGTAAGCTTTTAGTTGATTGATTTCCTTGCGGTTAGTCATATCCTTCTCCATGCAAAGGAACCGTGGTACCTCAAGCTTCCTCGTTTGATCTTCATAAGCTTCGCATATGAAGTTTAGCACTTGTTCCTGCAAAATCATGATACCTAATAACGGATTTTCTTGTACTTAAAAAGAATGAAAATATGGTTTGTCAAAGGCAGTGGAAGTTTTTATTACACATAATCGACTTCTAAAGTAACTATAAATTTAATTGGCTCGATACTAATGCTTCAATGATTAAAAAATAAAAATAAAAAAAAAATTAACATGAACGGGCTGCGAGCATACCATGGGTCTTGAGGCATCAATCCACTGGTAGATGGATTCATTTCGAAACCAAGTCAATTGTCTTTTTGCAAAATTTCTGAACATAAATAATTTTAACAAATTAAAAGTTTGTCCGAGTTCAATAATGGACTTGAAATTAGTTCATCCGACTTAGTCAGGAGAAAAAACTGGAAGAGGAAGATAAATTACCGAGACGCTTTTTGAAACTCGAACAGAAAACGATAGAAAGCTTGAGCAGAACTCGAGCCACCTTGTTCTCTAGACATTAGTAGAAAATCCATAGCCTAAAAGGATATTACCAACAGAATATATAAAAAGTTAAAAACTTTTGCATTCTGCAAATTTATGTTATGAGAGTTCAATAAATTTGTACTGAGAAAGAAAACCATAACAAAAACACACACACACACACAGAAAACGATATTTATTTCAGTATGATAGAGAAGAGAAGTTTACTTGTCTATAGCCAATAGCTCGAGTTGCAGAATTCGAATTAGGCATAAGGCCCAAATCGAGAAGCCAGTTTGCCTCGGATAAAATACCATCATCTGCCATTGCAAAACGACATTATACAGAAAATTAACATATCGAGAAGACAATAAGAATATAGGCAAAAGGCAGTATTCTGAACCAGAACCAACTCTACCTAAAAGCATATCTTCACACCGGAAATCAATTGATCGATAAAGATCCATCCTCTGGGTCGAAAGGAAAAAACAACTAAAATCATAGTCCAACTTCGACTTCTTCTCATCAGGTTCGACATCTGAACAACCCCCGTCAAAAGCATCTTCTGCATCACTTGACCGTAATTTCTCTTTGAAAGAATCATAAGGCACTTCAATGGTTGATGGAGAAACACCACTTGACTGCATAATTAAGATGATATTTCTTGCAGAGTAGGTATATTGATAAACAATAAAAATGAATACAAAAAGCTTGCTATTTAGTAAACAACAAGAAGGATAAAAATGTAAATTGGACAAAGATTATTATAGTCAGGTCTATTGCCTAACCTTGAGTATTTCAAGCCTGCGGCGTAATCTGTACCAATCATTTGCAGCTAAAGATCGGACAGCTGGATCGCCTGCTTTAACAACAAACTCTACTGCAGCTTCCCAGTCAACATCCCTTTGAAAATCCGCAAGTTCCGAGTTAACTTCAGATGTAATCTCACGGGAGGCCTTAGGAACATCTGGTTTCCCATAAATAAACCTTAAAAGAAAAAAAAAACATAGACANTGGAAAAACACACTTCATAAAAGACGAGACGAAAATCCAGATGATAATCCAACGAGAGTTACCATCGCAAATAAAGCCCAGTGCCACCTGTGACTATTGGCACATGGCCTCTACTAAGAATTTCTTCAGTTAATTTCCTTGCATCCTCGTAAAATTGTCCAACAGAATAATCTGATTATACATAACATTTTTTTCTCCTCAGTACCAAATAAGCTTAAGTGAACATTGCAGATATACTAAAAAAAACGTGATTTTTTTAGTAAAGCAGCTTCCAAATGACCTCAACAGCATGCACAACCCAGGACTGATTCACATTCACAACAAATAATCCATTGACAAACGCTTAAAGATATACAAACATGGGAGTTCAACTTCCTGATTTACAAAACAGAATCTTGTATTAGGTCACATGCCTCTCAGATATTATAAAAACATGAATACAGCATATACAAGCAAAACTTCTTAACCCCAACAGAGTAATTTCAGAATAATTATTGGTTCATTATCATCTAACTGCTATTACCTTCAGAAGGATGTAATATATCAACCAAATGATGTGGAACTTCCTGAAGGGGAAAAAGAAAAGAAATAAATAAATAAATAGGATATTAATTCAAGATATTAAACGCAGAAAGCAAATTATTTCCACTTTCATCCTGGAAAGAACGGTAAGATTAGTGTTAGGCAGAGCTAATGCCTCCTTCACGAACAAACCAATTCTAAAAAATGACATAAACCAAAGTACTGCATTTTATACAAACTAAGTATGCATTTTTGTTACAAATGTATTAATTTGGTTGATGTATAATGCCTCCTTCGAGAACAAATCAATTCTAAAATATGACATAAACCAAAGTATGGCCTTTTAAACAAATTAAGTATGCATTTTTGTAACAAATGTCGACCCGCATAATGGTTAGGCCGCCCCACAACAGAAACTTGCGAAATCAATTCCTTCACAAAAAAGTGCAACTTTAGAAAGCACAAAATAGCAGAAACCGAAGAGCATTAATTCAACTACGATGAATAAAAAACCTGTCTTTCGCTAACTGAAGGTTTCGCGGACCCAATATCAAGACCTTTATACACCTGCCAAGCATAATCCAAATGCCCATTAAGTTTCAAGCGGAAATTAGCAACTATAAATTGCAACACTTTAGTTGATTAACCTGGACGGAGTCGGCGCTGATGATTTCTCCGTTGAGGCGTTTCGCGAGTTCCAGAGATAGCCTGCTTTTTCCGGCGCCGGTGGGTCCGGATATTACTAATACTTTCTGCCGCTCGCCACTCTTTTTCGGCGGCGGTGGCGGTGGCGGTGCCGGGCGGGAGGTTGCGAAGAGCCTTCGTGTGCGGCGGAGGCATTGCGCTAGAGGGCGGAGGAGCGGCAACTCCGCCGCGTAAGGCGGCCGGATGCAACTCATACGGCGGTCCCCAATTCGTAAGCCACTAATCATTTTGGTGCACAAAGCTGCGATTTTTTATTTATACGTACTTATCCAACACTCTTTTTTTTTTNATTTTATAAATCAAAAATGCACAAATGTGCGAATACACAGCAGCCAACGACTGAATACACAGCAGCCAACAGCTGAAAAAGTGGGAGGACAGGTCAGAAGCCTGCCTAGAATCCCGACTAGCAACGCTAGAAGAAAATACACACTCGCAGCTAAACTAACCAACTAGAAACAACTACAAACAACACAAACAACTAAAAACAACTACAAGGACCCCAACAGGGTAATACCCTAGTGTCGGACCCCAACGGAGTAATCAAGTTGACACTCGGGCTCACAGAGACAACTGTCCAAACCTAAAACACTGATACAACACAAACACTGATACAAAAAACACAAAACAAGAACTTGAAAACTATACTAACAACAATTAAAGCCCTTCCCCAGTAAACGAGCAGACCCAACCAACAGCAAACAATCGACACAAGAACGATTCTTTTCTTGACAATATTAACCCTATTTAATGGATGTCATGGAAAACGATGGAGTTATATGAAGAGACACTGTGTATTAGATGGAGGGTTAAAATTGGAAAAATATGAACAAAATATCTAAAAACATTTATTTTATCAATGATCAATTAAGCCAAAGTGACAAATAATAAAAATAGCAGGGAGTATATATTATTATATATTTTAGTATGACACATGTTACTTGTGCGACTTATATGTGTTATATTATAATAAATTTTTTACCTTATAATATATAACAACATTATTCATAAATATATTAATTGATAAATAATTTTATTTTCGAATTAATTTTAATAAATATTATTATTATTATAAAGATAAATATAATTTATTTATTTTATATATACAATATGGATGTCAAATCGAAGCTCATCAAAAGATGATTAATTTGATAAACCGATAAGAAATACAAAAGTTATCAACTTTTAAAATATATTTGCAATTCAATGGTTATAATAGAAAATGATATTAAATTACAATTAATACAAATATTAATTTATATCCAAGCCTAACTTCAAAACATGATTTTTAGACAAATAAGATTCTGAAGCATGAGAATTTGCCACGTAGGCTCAGCGCATTCTGCAATTATATATAGAGGGGATTGCCTTTGATATGGATTTGACAACTCATTGAATAAAAAATCATTTAATTAAGTAACAAAGTGTAAAATAATATAAGTTGTTATTAAATAAAATTACATTAAAATAAAGGAGAGTTAATTTTCTCCACAGAATTATAAGGATTTATATAAATATAATATTCAACTTACACATAATTATATAATTTTGTAAATAATAGTGTTCATACTTACTTATGTGTTAGGTTCATATAAATTTTCTTATAACTTATTTATTTAGCTTATTAGCTTGTTGCATTGAAATAAACAAAAATGAGGAGCAATTATTTTTATTAATTCATCCAAAGATACTTAATGTATGAGATAGACAAAGTAATTGTTGAAATATCATAAATTTCAAAAGCAGGGGCTTTTTTTTTATTATTTTTTGGTACAAAAAAAGAGGGGCATTATTCTTACATTTGGCCCAGGGCCTAAGAAAGACAAGGACCGGCTCTGCGGCAGGGCACACATATTAAAACTACATACCTAGATCATTAACACCTATAATCATATTTTTATTCTTGTCTTTACCTTCAGACTAGCAGAAGAACTCTTGCAGACGAAGGAGGAGGAGCTTTTAGAATCCACAAAGAAACTCACGGAGCTCGAGGTTAGCCGCAAAGAGTTGCTTGAAAAATACAAGGAAATTGAACCAATGAACTATGATCAGCTCAATATTTGTGTCCATTCATATTGGTGTATGTTTCTAGTATCATTATCATTGTGAAGTTGATTTTTAAATTTTTGGCACAAATAATCACAAATCTTTTTTTTTTAAAAAAAAAAAAATTGAAAACATATGCACATTGATGACAAAGGTTTCTTACCGTGTTACTATATCACATGGAAAACCACACATATTAAAACTACCTATCTATATTTTGAGCTTATTAATACTCCTTAATTATATATCTATTCAAGTCTTCAAATATGATACATTTCAATTTGATAAAACAAATATATATAAAAAAAAAATTACTTTGCTTCATAATTAGGCTGCTGAATTCTAGGTGAAGTAACATGCATTCTTTATTTTCAGGATGATGGTGAAGTTACCTATGTTGAGGAGGATGATGTTTGCTTTTATATCTTGTGTGCTTATGATTATCGCAATCCGATTGATGCCATCCTTATTGAATGTGCTTATCATCTTGATCCCCTACCTATTGATTCTACCGATGGTGGCCGCAATGTGTACGAATTGGATGCATTTGCCAAATTTTTTGTCCATTTGATAATAGATTCGTGGATGTTAGCGGTTGTGTTGGTAAGTGTAGATGTGATGAGTTGGATGGAGGCAGCCTTCGTCATTATTTGCCACCATAGCCTACTATTTATGATAAATGTCTCTTTCGGATTTTTGATCAGCAAGTATGAGCTACACATTTTTTCTGGGTTGACATTAATCATAATGGAAGTGGTCAATAATCAATTGGGTGTTGCATTGGAAGTTACATGTATTGTCTTGATTGTGCTGCAACAGGTTTACCTTCAGTCCTCGCAGTGGTTGACTGGTTAGTAGTAAGACTTATTGATGTCGAGCGTAATTATACTATTAAATATAAACCTAAAAAAATACTTACTGAAAAAAAAAATTATATTATACTATTAGATATAAACCTAATACTAAAAGTAATTTGAAAAAATAAAATAAAATAAAATATCACGTGCGTAGCACGTGCATCTTCCTAGTAAAAGAAAAAGTGTAAGACTTTGTTATCTGTTATGGGCTTAACATTATTTACTATGGGCTGAGTTAAGATATAAATGAGCTTACTAATTACTAATCAAAAAATAAAAAAACAAACCCGGGCTGGAGCCCACTCTAGCTTTGGGGTGGCTCCGCCCCTTCATTAACACCTTTAATCATATTTCTATTCTTGTCTTTACCTTCAGAATAGCAGAAGAACTCTTGCAGACGAAGGAGGAGAAGCTTTTAGAATCCACAAAGAAGCTAACGGAGCTCGAGGTTAGCCACAAAGAGTTGCTTGAAAAATACAAGGAAATTGAACCAGGTACAATGATGAGCTCAATATTTGTGTGCATTCATATTGGTGTATGTTTCTAGTATCATTATCATTGTGAAGTTGATTTTTAAATTTTTGGCACAAATAATCACAAATCTTTAAGAAAAAAAATTGGAAACATATGCACATTGATAATAAAGGTTTCTTACCGTGTTATTATATCACATGAAAAACCACACATATTAAAACTATCTATCTATATTTTGAGCTTATTAATATTCCTTAACCATATATCTATTCAAGTCATCAAATATGATACATTTCAATTTGATAAAACAAATATATATATATAAAAAAACTTAAATTACTTTGCTTCATAATTAGGCTGTTGAATTCTAGGTGTAGTAACATGCATTCTTTATTTTCAGGATGTCGGTGAAGTTACCTATGTGGATGAGGATGAGCTTTTATATCTTGTGTGCTTATGATTATCGCAATTCGATTGGAGGTGATGATCAAGAAGAAATCCAAGCAAATCATGTCATCCTTATTGAATGTGCTTATTATCTTGATCCCCTGCCTAATGATTCTACCGATGGTGGCCGCAATGTGTAAGAATTGTACGCATTTGCCAAATTTTTTGTGCGTTTGATAATAGATTCGTGGATGTTAGCGGTTGTGTTGGTAAGTGTAGATGTGATGAGTTGGATGAGGCAACCTTCGTCATTATTTGCCACCATAGCCTACTATTCATGATAAATGCCTCTTTCGGGTTTTTGATCAGCAAGTATGAGCTACACATTTTTTTCGGGTTGACAGCAATCATGGAAGTGGTCAAGAATCATGTCAAGAATCAATTGGGTGTTGCATTGGAAGTTAATGTATTGTCTTGATTGTGCTGCAACAGGTTTACCTTCAGTTCTTGCACAGAAAGGTGGTTGACTGGTTGGTAAGAAGACTTATTTGATGTCGAGCGTAATTATACTATTAAATATAAACCTAATACTAAAAATAATTTGAAAAAAATACTTATTGAAGAAAAATTATTTTATACTATTAGATATAAACCTAATACTAAAAATAATTTGAACAAAAAAAAAAAAAAATCACGTGCGTAGCACGTGCATCTTCCTAGTAAAAGAAAAAGTGTAAGACTTTGTTATTTGTTATGCACTGAACATTATTTAATATGGGCTAAGTTAATAATAAATGGGTTTACTAATCAAAAAATAAAAAAACAAACTCGGGCTGGAGCCCACTCTAGTTTTGGGGTGGCTCCGCCCCTTCATTAGCACCTTTAATCATATTTCTATTCTTGTTTTAACCTTCAGACTAGCAGAAGAACTCTTGCAGACAAAGGAGGAGGAGCTTTTAGAATCCACAAAGAAGCTCACGGAGTTCGAGGTTAGCCACAAAGAGTTGCTTGAAAAATACAAGGAAATTGAACCAAAGTACAATGATCAGCTCAATATTTGTGTGCATTCATATTGGTGTATGTTTTTAGTATCATTATCATTGTGAAGTTGATTTTTAAATTTTTTGGCACAAATAATCACAAATCTTTAAAAAAAAATAAATAAATAAAATTGGAAACATATGCACATTTATAATAAAGGTTTCTTACCGTGTTAATACATCACATGAAAACCACACATATTAAAACTACCTATCTATATTTTGAGCTTATTAATATTCCTTAACCATATATCTATTCAAGTCTTCAATAATGATTCATTTACGTTTTATAACAAATATATATATATATATATATATATATATATATATAAAACTTAAATTACTTTGCTTCATAATTAGGCTGCTGAATTCTAGGTGTAGTAACATGCATTCTTTATTTTCAGGATGTCGGTGAAGTTACCTATGTTGATGAGGATGAACTTTTATATCTTGTGTTTTATGTTTATCGCAATCCGATTGGAGGTGATGATCTAGAAGAAATCCAAGCAAATCATGCCATCCTTATTGAATGTGTTTATCATCTTGATCCCCTGCCTAATGATTCTACCGATGGTGGCCGCAATGTGTAAGAATTGGACGTATTTGCCAAATTTTTTGTGCGTTTGATAATAGATTCGTGGATGTTAGCGGTTGTATTGGTAAGTGTAGATGTGATGAGTTGGATGAGGTAGCCTTCGTCACTATATGCCACCATAGCCTACTATTCATGATAAATGTCTCTTTCGGGTTTTTGATCAGCAAGTATGAGCTACACATTTTTTTCGGGTTGACAACAATCATAATGGAAGTGGTCAAGAATTAATTGGGTGTTGCATTGGAAGTTACATGTATTGATTGTGCTGCAACAGGTTTACCTTCAGTTCTCGCACACAAAGGTGGTTGACTGGTTGGTAAGGAGACTTATTGATGTCGAGCGTAATTATACTATTAAATATAAACCTAATACTAAAAATAATTTGAAAAAAATACTTATTGAAGAAAAATTATATTATACTATTAGATATAAACCTAATACTAAAAATAATTTGAACAAAAACCTAATACTAAAAATTATTTGAAAAAAAGAAATCACGTGCGTAGCACGTGCATCTTCCTAGTAAAAGAAAAAGTGTAAGACTTTGTTATCTGTTATTCGTTGAACATTATTTAATATGGGCTAAGTTAATAGATAAATGGGCTTACTAATCAAAAAATAAAAAAACAAACCCGGGCTGGAGCCCACTCTAGCTTTGGGGTGGCTCCGCCCCTTCATTAACACCTTTAATCATATTTCTATTCTTGTCTTTATCTTCAGACTAGCAGAAGAACTCTTGCAGACGAAGGAGGAGGAGCTTTTAGAATCCACAAAGAAGCTCACGGAGCTCGAGGTTAGCTACAAAGAGTTGCTTGAAAAATACAAGGAAATTGAACCAAGGTACAATGATCAGCTCAATATTTGTGTGCATTCATATTGGTGTATGTTTCTAGTATCATTATCATTGTAAAGTTGATTTTCAAATTTTTGGCACAAATAGTCACAAATCTTTTTAAGAAAAAAAAAAAATTGGAAACATATGCACATTGATAATAAAGGTTTCTTACCGTGTTAATATATCACATAAAAAACCACACATATTAAAACTACCTATCTATATTTTTAGCTTATTAATATTCCTTAACCATATATCTATTCAAGTCTTCAAATATGATACATTTCAATTTGATAAAACAAATATAAAAACTTAAATTACTTTGCTTCATAATTAGGCTGCTGAATTCTAGGTGTAGTAACATGCATTCTTTATTTTCAGGATGCCGGTGAAGTTACTTATGTTGATGAGGATGATGTTTGCTTTTATATGTTGTGTGCTTATGATTATCGCAATCCGATTAGAGGTGATGATCCAGAAGAAATCCAAGCAAATCATGCCATCCTTATTGAATGTGCTTATCATCTTGATCCCCTGTCTAATGATTCTACCAATGGTGGCCGCTATGTGTAAGAATTGGACGCATTTGCCAAATTATTTTGTGCTTTTGATAATAGATTCGTGGATGTTAGCGGTTGTGTTGGTAAGTGTAGATGTGATGAGTTGGATGGAGGCAGCCTTCGTCATTATTTGCCACCATAGCCTACTATTAATAATAAATGCCTCTTTCGGGTTTTTGATCAGCAAGTATGAGCTACAAATTTTTTCCGGGTTGACAGCAATCATAATGAAAGTGGTGAAGAATCATGCAAGTGACCGCGCGTCGCAACACGACAAATTTAAATTTATAATATTTTCCTCGACTAACCTCTACTAACTAGTAGTAGCCGCGAGTAAGGGTCGATCCACGAGGAGTAGGAATTAAATTGTGACAATTTTGTATTAATTAAATTAAAACTAAGAAAGCAGTAAATGGGGGGATTGATTTAATAAAAATAAAAAAAATAATAAAATAAAATAAAAATTAAATAAGATAAAAGAAGTCCAGTTTTTTCGGTTCAGTTATCACTCAATCTAAATCTACCGTTAATTAATTTCGACGCCTTCTTTAAGTTGCTAATGAATTACCGACCCTAGCTAACAACAAGCTCTATTAACCGAATTTTCTCTTACTGGTTATTTAATCGAAATAAGCTCTTTGACTAAACCTAACTAGTGGACAACCTAGAATAAGCTCTCTAGATTTAGTTCACTAGCAGCATTAATCTCTCGGAAAATAGATCAGTCTAAGCAACGGACGCGAAAGCTCGGACCGTTTAACTTATGTTCACGCTACCCTAGAGATGCACGACCCCTAGTCTACTACTAACGAAACGAGACAATAACAATTACGGATTAAAGTCCCGAATCTAGCAGTAAAATCATAGATATTCAATCTAGCTGGCCAAACTAAATCAAACACTCATAATTCATAAACATTCGACACAGATAGCATGAATCAACTCATCAAAAAAAATAAATACGGCGTCTCAATTAACTAACGATAAATAGAGATCATCCAATTCATAGACAAATCGAAATTAGGGTTCAAACATCCCCTCAAACTGAATAAAAATCTTAACCTAACATACTAATAAAAAAAAAGAGAGAGAATATAATCTCCCTCGTGTGCGACTGCGGCTTCCCTCCGCGTGTGTAGCCTCTCGCCTTTTCTCTCTGTCTCCGTGTGAGTACCGGTGTTGCGTTCTGTTTCTTTTGGCTCTCGCTAATAATCTCTTCTGTGCGTATGCTCCCCGCAAATAAATCCCAGGCTCCAAAAAATATCCTTCTTGCGTGGGAGACGTGTTGACTTCAGCAAATTATTCCTAATGCCAAACTAATCAAAACTCCTCCAATTAAAAGTCTCCAGCCCACAAACGTCCAATATTTCAATTCATTAACCCAATACTTTCAATTCAATTAAAACTAATTTGGTGGGACCCACAAGTGGTGGCTACCATCCATTATTTACAATGGCTCTCGATTTATTATAAATTTGGGCCGTAAGTGTCCGCTTGGGCTGTAAATAGTGACCGGTATTGGGCCCAATATTGACTTGCACGAACACTCGTCCAATGCTCCGGATCCACAAAATACTCTAAAATCCTAAAAATAACACATAAAACATCAAAGCAAATAAATCCATCCAAATAATGAATAAGTCGAAAAATATAAATGCATGTGCGACTAAATTTAGTGTATAAAAATACACTATAAATATATAAATATATAAAACGTGCACATTTTTCTATCTATCATCAAGAATCAATTGAGTATTGCATTGGAAGTTACATGTATTGTCTTGATTGTGCTGCAACAGGTTTACCTTCAGTTCTCGCACAGAAAGGTGGTTGACTGGTTAGTAGTGACACTTATTGATGTCGAACGTAATTATACTATCAAATGTAAACCTAATACTAAAAATAATTTTAAAAAAAATACTTATTGAAAAAAAATTATATTATACTATTAGATATAAACCTAATACTAAAAATTATTTGAAAAAAAAATATCACGTGCGTAGCACGTGCATCTTCCTAGTAAAAGAAAAAGTGTAAGGCTTTGTTATCTGTTATGGGTTGAACATTATTTACTATGGGCTGATTTAAGGAATAAATGAGCTTACTAATCAAAAAATAAAAAAACAAACTTGGGCTGGAGCCCACTCCAGCTTTGGGGTGGCTCCTCCCCTTCATTAACACCTTTAATTCTTATTTCTATTTTTGTCTTTACCTTCAGACTAGCAGAAGAACTCTTGCAGACGAAGGAGGAGGAGCTTTTAGAATCCACAAAGAAGCTCACGGAGTTCGAGGTTAGCCACAAAGAGTTGCTTGAAAAATACAAGGAAATTGAACCAAGGTACAATGATCAGCTCAATATTTGTGTGCATTCATATTGGTGTATGTTACTTTCTAGTATCATTATCATTGTGAAGTTGATTTTTAAATTTTTGGCACAAATAATCACAAATCTTTTTTAAGAAAAAAAAATTGGAAACATATGCACATTGATAACAAAGGTTTCTTACCGTGTTAATATATCACATGAAAAACAAACATATTAAAACTACCTATCTATATTTTGAGCTTATTAATTTCTTAATCATATATCTATTCAAAAATATGATACATTTCAATTTGATAAAACAAATATATAAAAAAAAAAAAACTTAAATTACTTTGCTTCATAATTAGGCTGTTGAATTCTATGTGTAGTAACATGCATTCTTTATTTTCAGGATGCCGGTGAAGTTACCTATATTTTTGAGGATGATGTTTGCTTTTATATCTTGTGTGCTTATGATTATCGCAATCCGATTGGAGGTGATGATCCAGAAGAAATCTAAGCAAATCATGCCATCCTTATTGAATGTGCTTATCATCTTGATCTCCTGCCTAATGTTCTACCGATGGTGGCCGCAATGTGTAAGAATTGGACGCATTTGCCAAATTTTTTTGTGCGTTTGATAATAGATTCGTGGATGTTAGCGGTTGTGTTGGTAAGTGTAGATGTGATGAGTTGGATGGAGGCAGCCTTCGTCATTATTTGCCACCATAGCTTACTATTCATGATAAATGCCTCTTTCGGGTTTTTGATCAGCAAGTATGAGCTACACATTTTTTCCGGGTTGACAGCAATCATAATGGAAGTGGTCAAGAATCATGTCAAGAATCAATTGGGTGTTGCATTGGAAGTTACATGTATTGTCTTGATTGTGCTGCAACAGGTTTACCTTCAGTTCTCGCACAGAAAGGTGGTTGACTGGTTGGTAGTGAGACTTATTGATGTCTAGCTTTTAAGTTACTTTTTGTTGACTTCTTAAAAAACATGCATATTCTGTTTTGTCTAGCTCTTCTGAAAACATGATTATGATGAACCTTAAGTTGCTTTTTGTCGACTTCTTAAAACATGCATATCCTGTTTTGTCTAGCTCTCATTATTAATCAGTTAATTGGAATGAGATTGATTTCTAAACTTCAATTTGGCAAGTATTAGGGGGGTGTATTCAATTCGGAATTTAAGTGACATTTTAAGACTTTTCGAGATTTGAGACTTTTTAGGATTTTCAGATTTTGGAAGAATTCTATGAAATCTCAAGTTCGGAGGTAAGATTTGAAGTGAGATTTCATATAAGGTTTTTTATTTAGAAATCCCACTAAATCTTAAAAAGTCTTAATAAATCCTAGTGTCAAAAAAATTAAATACCTCAGGATTTTGTAAGACTTTTGAAAATCCCAATTGAATACCCCAGGATTTTTAAAAGTTTTAAAAAGTCTTAACAAATCTAAATTGAATACACCAGGATTTTTAAAGTCTTAAAAAGTCCTTAAAAATCCTAATTAAATACACCCCTCTTAGTTAACTCAACTTCTGATTTGCCAATTATTGATTAATTCCTCAAACTTCGGATTTTTGATTTAAAACTTACAAGATTCGAAAGAGGGCTTCTTTTATTCGTTTCACAAAAGCTGATAAGGATTAATAAGGAATATCCAGTAAAAAAATACTATAATTACAAAAATTTGAGCACAAAATGCTCAAACTCTGTTAGTTTACCAAAATAATTACAAATTTTATTGGTATATAAANTATCATATTAAACATGTTCTATAAGGGATCACACCATGGGAACATTCAAATAGCTTATAATTTCTTGTCTGGGGATTCGATAACGGGCCTCATTTCTGATGCCATGCCAAAGCTCCTCGACTTGTTCTTAAACCAGATTCCAACTCAAGTTTTCATTGAGGTTATAATTTCTGCAAATCAAGTTTTACATATAGATGATGGTGATCAAAACGGGCTGATCTCAATTGCACACACTGCAAGTCTGCAAGAGTTTTTCTAACTTTCTGCACTACAAAAGAAGTCCATTGAAAATCCCTCATTACTAGCCATATTATTTACCTAAAATGGGAGTTAATCAAGATATATTTAAGATTCCACTTACACTAAGCCCAAGTAGCCAGAGAGAACAACTAGATCATTAATTCATAACTAATGTAGTAACAATTACAATTTGTAAATTTGAAGCTAACACTAGACTCTCTCTCTTTCTCTGCGAGAGAGTTCCAATTCTAATGTCTACTCAGTTGCATGAATATATAGCTAGAATATATAGTTGGAAGTTTACGACCTTTCTTATGTTAATCTCACTTTTTTGTTCTCCGTCTTAATTTGGGGATAAAGATTCAACTTTATAAGAGTACATACAACATTTTTGTGCATTAGACTTTTCATTTTGTTGTGTATTAGTATTGAATTGGTATTTCACTTTTTTCATGTTTAGGGATTAAATCTCAATTGAGCTTCTCTTTATTTTTTAAATAATAATTAAATCCAGATATAATAGATAAAGAACGTGTCTTTGATAGTTTATTCAATTGTATTTTTGTCAATTCTTAATACATTTTTATTAATATAATAACAGGTTAAGAATAATAAAGAAAGTGTATGCAATTAAAAAAAAATAAAAAAATTAAACAAATAACAAGCATTCCAAGTTCTACGTTGAATAGGTAACAGTCAAAATAAAAGCACAAGAAATTAAATATTTATTAGATCACTCAAATATGACCGGTCACTTCCAGTCGCTGAATAGCATAAGAAATTACATATTTATTAGATAGCATAAGAAATTAAATACTTATTAGATAGCATAAGAAATTACATATTTATTAGATAAAAGCAAATCTAAAGAGTTACTCCCGACAACATAAACGTCGTGCCACCGTCACTTCCAGTCGCTGTCCGTCAGCCATCTTCTTTGCGAAAATGTTTGTAACAAACGTAAATAGCAAGAGAGACCAAGCCAATGGATGTACCTCCAACGATGACTGCCATTGCTATTACGGAGGTTTCCATAGATTAGTCAAAACTAACTAAAAACTTTGTCACATGCTTTTATATATATAATCATATAAATATATATATAGAAAAAGTTTGATTACATTTTAGGTAGTATCTCTAAAAAATAAACTTATTATTATTTTGGGAATCTAAAAGTCAATTTTTTGGAACGAAATCACAAGGATTTTAAACATTGGATTTATTTGGACGGAAAATCAATTCCTTTGGCATGTAAATATACGCGTAGATGTTAATTATTTTGGCATGAAAATTTTAAATTTGATTTTATATGGAAATATTGACTGCGTATATGGTTACCACAATCTGATCTGATCTCTTTCATTTAGCACGGCCCCATCTGATCTGTTTCATTTACATAACGAATGCCTCCTTATTTATCTTACACGTACTAATTCTAGGAGGCCAAACAAGTAGACAGACTTTTTAACACAATAATTTATTTATAATACAAAATATCATGCTTTTTATTTATAATATAATATAATATTCAATTAGATTCTGTAACAACATTTACTGTATTTTTGTTTCTCGTTCCAAAACAAAAACAAAAAAAATCAATTTAACCATCACTGCCTGCATAGAATTTTTGCAACTCTAATTGCATGCCAACTTCACATCATTTATGATTTTCACAAATATATAAATAGGGAAACTACCACAGAAATAGCTTCATGTAATCATGATAACATATAAAAACCAACCAAACAGTACTCCAAATATCAAAACCAGAACTAGCCACCAACCAATCTTCACACCTAAGCTTAAAACCTCAGTTGATAATGTCTAATGCTTCACGCACACACAAACCCTTTTCAACTTCACCAACCATTTGTCACGCATTCCAAAACACTTAATCCTTAAAACCAAACAACAAACTACACAAACTCATGTCCACATGAACTTCCTATTCCGCCTCGCGCTATTCGCTGTCCTTGCCCTTGGGGCTACCCGAGTCATCCTCGACAGCTTCAAACACAATCTCGAAGGTCCGTTTTTCCAAAAAACGAGGAGCAACAAGTACGCGGTTAGTGTTCCGGTCAAGGTTTTCGAGGATGAGACAATCGAGGAAAGTTGCGACGTGTTTAAAGGGAAATGGGTTTGGGACAATGAAAGCTATCCGCTTTACAGGGAAGACACTTGTCAGTTTCTGGTTAAACAGACGACATGTCTGAAAAACGGGAGGCCCGATTCTTTCTATCAGAATTGGAAGTGGCAGCCAAGTGCATGCAATCTGCCAAGGTAATCGAAAAAAAGGAAAAAAATAAAATAAAAAATAGACATATAACTAATCAAATATTTGGTGAACTTATGAATGATGTGAATTGTGATCAGATTTGATGGTATGAAGCTAATGGAGATGCTGAGGGATAAAAGGCTCATGTTTGTCGGGGATTCGATACAAAGAAGCATGTTCGAGTCCATGGTCTGCTTAGTACAATCCAAACTCCCAAACGATGTAAGAACCTCTCTACAACGGGTGCCTCCGAGGAAAATTTTCAAAGTCGAGGTATGGAAAGTGTTGCAATTCGAACATTTCCATCATCACAAGCTTTTTTCAATGTGTATTCAATTTTCATACCACATTTGTGTATTTTTTTTTTTGGCTACAACAGGAATTCAATGCATCTATTGAGTACTATTGGGCTCCTTTCCTAACAGAGTCCATATCAGACAATGCCATAAACCACACCGTTTTCAAGCGTCTCGTGAGGCTCGACTCGGTGGCCAAACACAGCCAAGAATGGGAGGGGGCCCACATTTTGGTCTTCGAGAGCTACGTTTGGTGGATGCACAAACCCACCATAAACGCAACGTGAGAATCGCGGTTCGATTATTTTTTTTTATTTTTTTTTTCCTTTTTTCTTCCCCCCCTAAGAATAAAGAAGTAAGAATGATTCGTCAAGACCAAAAATGGTGATTGGTTTTTTAGGTTCGAATCTCTAAACAATGTCCGGGAATATAACGTGACAAGTGCGTATCGATTAGCGTTGAAAACATGGGCAGATTGGGTCGAGTCGAGCATTGATCCAAGTACTCAAAAGATCTTTTTCGCAACAATGTCCCCGACACACTTGTGGTGAGTAGACCTGTAAACAAGCCGAGCCGAGCTCGGCTTGTTAAATAAACGAGCCAAAATTCAAGCTCGAGCTTGACTCGTTAAGGCCTCGAGCACGAGCCGATCTCGAGCTTTAACGAGCCGAACTATTAAAAATTACATATAAATTATATTTTCGAGCTTTATCAAGCTGAGACGAGCTCGGATCGTAAACCAATCGAGCTTTAAATGAGCTCGAGCTCAGCTCGTTAAGGCCTCGAACTCGAGCCGAGCTCGAACCTTAACGAGCTGAGCCGAGCCAGGCTCGTTTGATATAAGAGCACTAGTGGTGAGTCTTCTCCCGCGAATGAACCACGATTAACATAGTTAAGGGTGTGTTTGTTTATCAATTATTTCAACTCATACTCAATTCGTTCTCAAAATCTAAATCAACTTCAACTCAATCCATTATACTCAATATTATCAATATAATTTAATAATATCAATCAATCATTCTTATATATCACATCAACTTTAATTCACTATTCATCCAACCATCACTTCACATCATCTCTCTCATACTTTTACATCAAATTTTAAATTTAATTATTTTATTTTAAATATAAATTTAATATAAACTCAAAATCTGACTAACAACTAACCATAACAACTTTTTCAAAATAAACCTTGGTTAACCAAAAAAACTCATTTTGAGTGGATATATTTGTATCCAAACACGCCCTTAATCTCAAATGTAACTATGTTCATTCTGCAATTAACCAAACGAAAAATGTACCTTCTTGCCACAAGTATCAAAAACTTATATTGTGAACACAAAATTCGGGATAATGAACTGCCTATTTTTTATTTTATGGTTAGGAGTTGGGAATGGAAACCCGGAACGGGTGGAACTTGCTTCAACGAGACATCCCCGATTGAACAAGAATCCTACTGGGGAACGGGTTCGAGTCTGGACATCATGGGAACAGTCAAAGACATTCTTGGACAGCTAAAGGCTAAGGTAACTGTGCTAAATATTACTCAGCTGTCTGAATACAGAAAAGATGGACACACTTCAGTCTATGGGGAAAGAAAAGGTAAACTCTTGACTAAAGAACAGAGATCAGACCCAAATAATTTTGCTGACTGTATTCACTGGTGCTTACCTGGAGTCCCTGACACGTGGAACGAGATTTTGTACGCACATCTTTTGCAAGATTATCGTTCGTAGAAGAAAAAAGTCAAAGACAAAGCTCAACCTTTTTTCTCATCTTCTGTTTTTGACTTTTTTCTTAGAATACCCATACACAAGACAAATGTACACAAGGAAATTTAATAAACAGCAAAATATAAATGGTGATATGACCATATAACTGGCAAGTCTGCATTTTCCCAGTTATTGATTTTCAATTATTACTGGAAATTTGAACTCATATTCAGCCTCATTTGTGTATATAGACATGATTTACCGGAAGTACACATTTCCTGAAATTGTCTCGGAAAGGTAAAAAATTTCGGAGAAAGGATTACCATGGGAAAATTATTGCTACATTCACACAAGCTCCCACTCAGTATCGGAAGTCTCGTTAAATGTTTGTGTGCTCATTGAGGAAGAAGTTACATGAACCGGCTCAAAATTCTGGCTTGATTCTGAATGAATGTCCCCATAAAATATGCCCAAATGCTTGTATTCCTTGGATAATCTCTTCCGAGAAGTAAGGGCATCATGTAGTAAGTTCTAGAGAAAAAATAAACAAATTGGAAAAAAAAAGGTGTCAATTGGAAATTGTAATAATTAGTACTTAAAATAAAAGTATCCCTAGTTACAACAATCTCCAGTTGTTTTTAAGGTTACAGATAATACCATCTTGAGGGTAAAATTGCAAGGAGAAAGAGGTAAAGGGGTGTTATTAGTTTTACGAGATAATTGTTGTATTCTTTTTTTTTTTTTCCTCTTTTGCGAATTTGCATAGTTTATTTCATGTAGCTTTTCATTTCAATGATTTATTTAATCGAATAAGAGACACTACCTTATAATATCTGAAATTTCGTCTTCCATGTGTGCCAGCATGGCTTAATTTACGACTGAAAATCACTCTTGCTTCATCATGCTTCAAGCCAGGTGAAAGATCAATAGTTTCCATATTATGGTCACCAGTACCATCGACAAATTTATCCCCGTTTCCTGCATATAATGCATTAATCAAACAATAGTAACTTGTGAATAGTGAAAAAAAAAGGTTATTTGACTTGACAAAAAAGNCAGATCAAGAATTGACAAACAGCACCTTATAATATCTGGTAAGTTATTTGACTTGTTGGATCTTATCAAGAAATAAGATCCACTAATTTAATACTTTATTGAATAAATATCATCATAGCAATTTCAACATGCAATCTACAGTGAAATGATGGCAAACAAATACAAACCCTAACATTAATGCTATCAACCAGGCTGCAATTACCAGTTTCAAATGAACAAAACATCTCAATTTCAGATAAACCACCAAAGAAACCCAACCCATTTATGAGGAGAGCATTATAGACTAAAATAGCAGTTAAAACCAAGCAGCACATCTTCAAGGAAACAAAAATAGAAAAACTACATACAGGGAAAGATAATTTCTTCAAAACAAACCCAAATGATAAAAGAAATCCGAAAATGCAGTATTTAAGGAATTTATGAAGAAGACAGAAAGTGAAAAGTATGCCAACCATTTGAATTAAATGTTAAGAAAGATGAAAGCTCATCCACTGCCTTAGTTCCACAATCTGCACTATTAGAAGAAGGGCTCGTGACGCTATAAGCAGAGCCATTACACTCGACATGAGACGCGCCTATACTTTCATCCTTCTCCAAAAAATCCTCAGATGACGAGTCCAATATGTCAGAACATTTTGGTGAGGTGTAACAAGAAGAAGAATTTGAACCCATTTCATCATAAGAAATATCAGCAAATTCACATTCATGTGGTTGGACTGAGCTTAAAACATCAAAGCTCTCATCTTTAGACGAAATATCACAAACCCCTTCTTTTACTCCCGGATCAGATAAACTTTGGTTTTCATCAAATAACAAATCACTGCTTGATGTATTTAAAAGACACTCCGGATCATCTGAATAGCCCTTATCTTCTTCTCCATCGCAAAAAGCCATTTTTTCCATTTCTTTAGTTATCAACAAACCTTCTTCATGCCTCATAGGAATTGCACTCTTACAATCTTCACCATATGTTCCTGAAAGCATCTCATTGTCTGCAGAGGAATCGGTAGACTCCGATATTGAAATCATTGTAGGATCAGTGGGACTCTGATTTTCAGATAATCGCTCTTCACTAACAATGGTGGAGTCCGTTTTTATGCCTCTTTCTGATTTCACATGGTCCTGAATCTCAGCCTGTTCACTATTTTCTGGTTGTGATTCACGCTCTGTGCTGTCCGCAGAAGAAGGAAGTATGTCTTGCACCACGTTAGAATAAAACTTTTTTACACTTACACCGACACTTTGCACCTGGCCCTCGACAAATCTAACGGTGTCCTGTTGAATTCGAGCAAATTTACTGCCTCAGAGATTTTATTAAGGTTAGTCCAATCTTTTGGATTGGTACTTTTTTCAAATGACATTGGTTTGCAAGTACACTATTCCTCGAGTATAAAAGGAAAGACAATACCTTGGTCATAAATTCGTCGACATCCTGACAAATGGACTCAAACTGGTGGAATATGTTCCCAGCCCAGGATTTACTTTTTAATTTTAAATCCATCGGAACATATATGATTTTTCCAAGAAAGCAATCGAGATGATTTGTCCACAAATTTTGAACACGGATATCCACAAAGCTGCAATTAGGATTAAACCTGCAAGGAGTTGATCGAACTTCCATTAGGAATCCCGTCCTACAGAAATAATCACTCATTCGAACGAACAATATCTATAGGCCAAACTTAACAAAGTTCTGATAATCGTTAATACTATGCAATCACCCAAGGTAAAACGGGAATCATTAGGTCAGTGGCAGTATCTAGAAGCTGAGCANAAGTTCGCACACACTTTATGTTTAGAGGTTGCAAATCTCTAGGTAGGCAATATCAAAATCATTCTACTACATATTTCCTCTTCACAAACAAACTCTCCCAACTAAATGGAAAACCAAACACACGAAAGGGCAATAAAATCAAAACCCCTGAAAAACAGTAAAACAAGCAAGAGCTCAACTGTACACACCAAATGTAAAATTCCTGTAAGCTAAACACAACTAAGCAAGAGCTCCATAAAAGAAAAATCCCAGAAATTCAAAAATATTAATACTACTAATAAAAGACAACCCAGCAAACATCGATCAACAAAAACCCGAAACAATTCACAAAACCTCAATCCAAAAAGGCGCTTCCTTTTGCAAGACCACAGAAAATTCTGACAGTCAGAAAGCTAAAGATCAAACCTTTAACCGCTTGTTCTCTCTTTACATAAAAAACTAACTCAATAGAAAAATAGTGAAGAATTCTCGCTCGTACAGACACAAACACACACACACACACATACCATGGCTGATCATATCCTAATTTGAATAAAAACAAGAAAAAGCAAAAGTATCGTTTTTTTCTTCATAAATTGGAATATGGGTCCAAAGAATTTCACCAGCAAGATTAAAGAGTTGGGCCCGGGCAGAGAAAAGTGAAGAACAAAAGATGTTCGCCGGCGATAGAAAGGCCGCAGCTTTACGGGTGGTTGGGAATCCTCTGACACACGTACGATGCTTTTGTCAACAGGGTTTTATAATGGCACGCGCGATGGTTTTTAACAGGGGTTTTAATTATGGGATTTCTTAGTTTTTAAAGTGATTTAAGTAGTATTTATTGGGTTTAGGCTTTTTAAGTAAAAAAAAATTAGTTAATACATTGAAATTCTGATCATTACGTGACAGAGTCAAATTTGAATTCGATTAGGTTACTATAATTGTAATAACTCAATTTATTTATTTATAATTTAGTATAAAGTTGAGATCTTCATAATTTCAGATTGACCGGACACTTTGAACTTGATCAAGTTGAAATCAAGCTGGTTGTAAACTTGTTAAAGGGGAAAAAGCAATTCTAAATTTCTAATGAACTTTAGGTAAAAAAATTCAAAACACATAAACTGCTTGTGGAAATAGCACAAACATATTTTGTAAACAGCATATAAGGTGAAACAGTGACTTTGAATTAATAGTCCAATCTCATTCACGACCTTGAAGTAAAAGAGGCAAAACTTAATTATTTATCTAATTCAACATAGCTTTCGTCAATATTATCAATATATTTCAATAATAAAATTTAAAATCACTCATAACAACATAATTTTTAACAAAATTTATTATTTATTCACTGTATATATCTAGCTATCAATTATTTACAATTTTTATATTTTATCAACTTTAATTATTATATTTTATAATTTAAATAATTTAGTGAGTTATTAACTTGGACAAAACTATTTAATCCTAAATTGGTTCAACTTAGCTCAGATGTCAACAAAGACAACTAAATAAGCTATAAAATAGTTCATCGTTCTTATCCAACACACTCATGTTCTCCTACTAATTATATAAACTGAGTATTATATTTCTATAAAATAACCAAATGGTTCCTTCTCTAGTGCCAACGATTTTACAGAATTTTGACATGAGAACTTATTAGTAAATAATAATCCTAACATAAAGAGTGGATTCTGCATTATCACTGTAAACGAGTCTAATCGAGTTTGTACTCGAGCTTCAACCCTTAGGCAAGCAGAGTTCAAAACCTTAACGAGTCGTGCCGAACTCAGCTTGTTAACTAAATGGGTCAATAATCGAACTCGAATTCGACTCGTTTATCAATATTAAGGAGTTGAGCTTGAGCCGAACTTGAGCTTTAACAGGTTAAACCAAGCTGAGCCGGCTCATTAACTAAACAAGCTTTCAATGAGCTTGAGAATAAACAAGTCGAACTCAACTCGAGCTTTAATAAGTTGAGTTGAGCTAAGCACACCAACAACTCATTAAATTTAGCATCTCTACGTATAACGTCATTTAAATTGCACTGTTGTAAGCACCACAACTAAAAGGTTTATCCTTTGTCAAGTAGTAGTCTTGACACTTTATAATCCTCATCTTCTTTAATTTAATGAACTAAAAGGTTTATCATTGTCTTGACACTTTATAATCCTCATCTTCTTTAATTCAATCTATGTATTGTGCTTAGAAATGTTAAATAAAATGAGTATGTTCGTAAATTTGGCTTGCTTTGTTAAGACTCAAGACTAACTTTATCGAACGAGTTGAGCTGGAATTTCTTTAAAGTTCGTTTAGTCAACGAGTTAGGCTCTACTTAGCTGGCTCGTTACAGCTCGAGAAAAGATGATCCATTTTTATATACTTTTTTATATTCCAACTCATTAAACTTTGAATTTGACTCATCAATTATTATTGATGAACAAAGAGAGCTTGAGCTCAATTTATAGTCAATGAGCCGAGCTCGCTCGTTAAAGGCTTGAGTTATAAGCTCATTAACTGTGCTATGTATATACTCAAAGACTATATGTTGTGTCGCATACATGCTTTGAAAAACTACAAATTAGCCAACAAAAGAGATGGAATTTTTTAAAGCAAAGAGAACATAAATAATTGGTTGCCATGTGTTACGTGAAAATTTTGGTCCTCATTTAGTTTACCTACAAAAACTTAAACGTAACCATTCTTAGTGTACACACTCTTATGCTCTCTAGTCACTTTTCTCAACTTTTGTTCACCCAACAACAAAGATTTATTTACATTACACATAACTAAGTCAAGCCAATGTTTAACCTCCACAAACCCCCCATTTCAATACCAATATCTAGTGATCAATTACACAAACAATTGAGGTTGGTATGTTTAGTTCATCATCCTTTAAAAACCTTTTNAATATACTCTTCCATACCTCCATTTTCTTGGCATACACCATGGAGGAGCTTCCCGTTTCCAACCAGTGCATGACAACCTACACAATAGAAACCAAAAACCTCTCATACACTCACCAAAACCCACGTCACCACCAATTTACCCGCCTATTCTCCTCCAAGACATCATCATCATCATCACCACCCAAGTACATCATCAAGAACGTCACCATCTCAGCCCTGCCCGGCCAGCTCACGGCCATCGCCGGGCCCAGCGGCGCCGGCAAAACCACTCTCCTCGAGCTCCTCGCCGGCAAAATCCCCCCCGGAAAATTCTACGGTCAGATCCTCGTCAACGGCAGCCCAATCAACCCTTCCACCTTCCGCCGCCTGTCCGGCCACGTCAGCCAAGACGACACCCTCTTCCCCCACCTCACCGTTGAGGAGACCTTCACCTACTCCGCCCTCTTCCGTCTTCCCCGCCGCCGGGCCCACCACCGGGCCCACCACGTCATCCTCGACCTCGGCCTCGACCACGTGGCCCGCTCGAGAATAATCGATCTCTCCGGCGGCGAGAGGCGCCGGGCCTCGATTGGCGTTGAGCTCGTCCACGACCCTCGAGTTTTGTTCGTCGACGAGCCGACTTCCGGCCTCGACTCCTCCTCGGCCCTCCACGTCGTCTCCCTTCTCCGGTCGGCCGCCGTGGCGGCCGGCCGGACCGTCGTCCTCACCGTCCACCAACCGAGCTCTCGAATCCTTGACCTCCTCGACAATCTAATCCTCGTCTCGAACGGGCTCGTCGTTCATCACGGCCCGCTCGACCTTCTCGAGTCCCGTCTCCGCCTCGTCATCCCCCCGCGCCACGTCAACATCCTCGAGTTCGCCATCGAAATCGAAATCGAAACCAAAACTCTATCATCGTCTCACCAACGAACGACGACGACAATCGAGCGTCGTGGGCCCGTACTCGCTATGTGCCCCACGACGAAGACTTTCTACGCAAACTCGCGGCTCGACGAGATGCTAGTGCTCGGAGACCGGTTCCGGAAGAACATATTCCGGACGAGGGAGCTCTTCGCGGCGCGGGCAGTTCAGGCGGCCGTCGTGGGGTGCGCGCTAGGGACCGTGTACATGAACGCGCGGGAAAAAAACTCGGAGACAACGCGGCTCGGGTTCTTCGCGTTCACGCTGAGCTACCTGCTGACGTCATCGACCGAGGCGCTACCGATATTCCTACGGGAGAGGAAGGTGCTCGAGCGGGAGGTCTCGTCCGGGGCTTATCGAGTCTCGTCCTACGTGGCGGCCAACGCGCTCGTGTTCGCGCCTTTTCTTTTGCTAGTCGGGTTGCTTTACAGCGCGCCCGTTTATTGGCTGGTGGGGCTCAGACGGGAGGTGGACGGGTTCCTCTACTTTGCGGTGGTCGTGTGGGCGGTGGTGATGGCGTCGAACTCGTTCACGGCGTGCTTTAGCGTGCTTGTACCGGATTTCATCGTGGGGTCGAGCGTGATAGCCGGGCTGATGGGCTCGTTTTTCTTGTTCTCGGGATATTTCGTGGCGAGGGAGGATATGCCGAGGTACTGGGTTTTGATGCACTATTTGAGCCTCTTCAGGTACCCGTTCGAGAGCATGTTGATGAATGAATATGGCGGGAAGAGGTGCGTGGAGTATGTGGGGGAGGAGTGTGTGTTGTATGGGGAAGAGTATTTGAGGGAGAAGGGTTTCAGGGAGTGGGAGAAATGGAGTCATTTGGGTGTGATGTTTGGTTTTGCGGTTGGGTATAGGGTCATTTGTTTTCTCATTTTGTGGTGGAGAGGGTGTGGGGCGAGGAAATGAACAAGGTTATATACATTTTATTATCATCTTCATCATCTCACATTGTGTAACATTTTTTTTTTTTTTTNAAAAGGATGCCACAGATTTTGTATCCCCTGTATATAGTTGTGAAAGGCTTATTGCATCATACTCATTCCCCATGGAGCCCCTTAATGGTAAGAGGATGTGGCCAGAGGCTCCAGGGAATCCTATCAAGCCCCCACCATTCAGAAGAATGCCAGGTAGGCCCAAGATCAATAGAAAAAAAGCACCTGAAGAAGAGGCTAAGACAAGCTCAAGGCTGAAGAGGTTTGGCTTGCAAATGACATGCCAAAAATGTTTCCAAGTTGGCCACAACAAGAAGACTTGCACCAATGACCCAGCTCCAAAACCTGCTAAGGTATATTTTGTTTTTAGGTATTATATGTTTTTATAGTATCTGAATTTGTGAACAAACCTGTCAATTTCAGAGACCTAGAGGTAGGCCAAGGATGATTAGAGAAAGCACAGGGGCAGGTGGAAGTGAATCCATTGCTAAGGTAACAGTTAAATTTAATTATTTTTTTTTCTGTTTGACATTATATAGTTTTCAAATTTTTTTGAAATTTTATGAACTTGTTAATTTCAGAGGCCTAGAGGTAGACCAAAGAACATGAGAGAATGCACAGAGGAAAGGGAACAGTCTGGTGTAACTTCCCATGCCCTTGTAGCTAGGAAAAAGAAAGCATTGGTACTTTGATGCATTCATTTCTAATTAATTGTCTTTCATTTTCTATTGTCTGAAATATTTTGATAAGTATGTTTGAAATTTCAATGACAGGTGCTTAGACAAAAAAGAATTCAAAAGAAATCTCAGAACAAGGAATTGGAAGCTGTGGGAGCTATAGGAACTCAAGAAAGTGTTGCCAAAAAGTGACAAACATTTTGTTGTGGACATGTGGTTGTGAACAAGTTCATGTGTTTCTTTTGTAGTGAAAAGGTTGTGTTGATTAATGTGTTTATGGACATGTTGATGTGAACAAATTTTTTGGGTATTAGTTTATGTTTTTGTGGACATGTGTATGTGAAGAAATTCATGGTTGTGGACATGTGCTAGTGGTTGTGGTTGTTCAGACATTATGTTTGTAATTTGGCCTACTTTTGCAACATAATGGATCAAAATTGCTTCATATTGATAGTGTTTGTTTATGTTCTTATGTTTGATTGTATTATGGGATGATCATGTTCTATATGGTGTTACAGATAATACTTACTCCAGAAATTAGATCACTGAACAATGATGTATAATGGATCATGATGTTTTATTCAACAAATAATGTTCATTGAACAATGAAAATCTTGCTTATTGCAAACAAAACCACACTAACTTTGAACAACTAAAATCATATATAAACTTAGCTCATTGCAAATAGAACCTTGTTCTTGGTACAAACAAACACTACATAAACCAGCTTTGTCTAGCTAAG